TGTCTTTTAATCGAAATTACACAAATGGTCTGAGGGCTTCCTGAAGTTAGAGTTCTGTCTCAGTGCAGAATGAATCCGATGAGAGGTGAGAGGTGAAATTGCAGGCAATGAGGGAGTTTATTAGCATAGAATGCTTGTGACAGCTACAAGCAGGCAGGCAAGGGAGCACAGCCCCCAGAATACACTCAGACACGTTTGTATAATCAAAGAAAATGTGGGGAGGAGAGAAGACCAACTTCTTCCTCATTTTTGCGTAGACGTCAAGACCTGCATCATTAGTTCCTCCTTTAACCCTATATGTGTAATCAGAACTGTCATGGCACTATCAAAATCATATGCCTACTAGCATATGGTCCATGGAGTTGCAGAGAGTGGGCTACGAGTTTAGCAACTGAGCACACACACACAATAACATGTACTAAAGTATCTTCTCAGGTGTGGGTATAATGTCCTCTTTCACCTAGTTTTCTTTCCCCTTTCACCTCTATTCCTGTCTTGGCTACCTGCAGAAGGGCTACTCTTCAAGGACTACTAACTCCCTGACTTCATGTAACAAGATATACAACCCATACCTATTTGCCTTGTGTGTTTGTAGGTTTTTTAAATTTATTTATGTGGCTGTACCAGGTCTTAGTTGTTGCACTTGGATCTGCGATTTTCCTTGAGGCATGCCAGATCTTTAGTTACATGAGAACTCTGAGCTGCGGCATGCAGGATCTAGATCCCTGACCAGGGGTCAAACCCAGGCCCCCTGCACCAGGAGCATGGAGTCCCAGCCACTGGACCGCAAGGGAAGTCCTGATTGTGTTGTGTTTTAGCTATCAGGACTTTGTGGTTTGAGTGTGTCTGGGGCTTCAATGTGCCCGGTCTTCCTTCAAGGCAGAATAGATTGTTGCTAGGTTTGTTGCTGTTGTTCAGTTGCTAAATCATTTCTGATTCTTTGCGACCCCATGGACGGCAGCACGCCAGGCTCCCCTGCCCTCCACTATCTCCCAGAGTTTGCTCAGATTCATGTCCACTGAGTCAGTGATGCCATCCAGCCATCTCATCCTCTGCTGCCCCCTCCTCTTGTCCTCGATCTTTCCCAGCATGAGGGTCTCTTCGAATCAGGTGACCAAAGTATTGGAAATTCAGCATCAGTCCTTCCAAAGAATATTCAGGGTTGACTTCCTTTAGGATTGACTGGTTTGATCTCCTTGCAGTCCAAGGGAACCTCAAAAGTCTTCTCTATCACCACAATTCAAAAGCATTAATTCTTTGGCACTCGGCCTTCTTTATGGTCCAACTCTCACATCCATACATGACTACTGGAAAAACAATAGCTTTGACTATATGGACCTTTGTCGGCAAAGTTATATCGTTATATCTCTGCTTTTTAACATGATGTCTAACTTTGTCATGACTTTTCTTCCAAGGAGCAAACATCTTCTAATATCATGGCTGCACTCACTATCTGCAGTGATTTTGGAGCTCAAGGAAATAAAATATGTCACTGCCTCCACTTTTCCCCCTTCTATTTGCCATGAAGTGATTGGATCGGATGCCATGATCTTAGTTTTCTGAAAGTTGAGTTTTAAAACAGCTTTTTCACTCTCCTCTTTCACCCTTATTCAGAGACTATTTAGTTCTTCTTCAATTTCCGCCATTAGAGTGGCATCATTTGCATATCTGAGATTACTGATATTTCTCCTGGCAATCTTGATTCCAGCTTGTGATTCACTGAGCCCCGTATTTTGCATGATATACTCTGCATATAAGTTAAATAAGCAATGTGACAATGTAGAACCTTGACATACTCCTTTCCCAGTTTTCAACAATCCATTGTTCCATTTCCGGTTCTAACTGTTGCTTCTTCACCTGCATACAGATTTCTCAGGAGGTAGGTAAAGTGGTCTGGTATTCCCATCTCTTTAAGAATTTTCCACAGTTTGTTGTGATCCACACAGTTAAAGACTTTAGCGTAGTCAATGAAGCAGAAGCAGATGTTCTGGAATTCCCTTGCTTTCTCTATGATCCAACGAATGTTGGCAATTTGACCTCTGACTCTTCTGCCTTTTCTAAACCCAGCCTGTGGTTCTCAGTTCACCTACTGCTGAAGCCTAGCTTGAAGGATTTCGAGCATAACTTTGCTAGCAAGTGAAATGAGGGCAACTGTACAGCAATTTGAACATTCTTTGGCATTGCTCTTCTTTGGGATTAGAATGAAAACTGACCCCCTCCAGTCCTGTAGCCACTGTTGTGTTTTCCAAATTTGTTGGCATATTGAGTGCAGCACTTTAACAGCATCATCTTTTAGGAGTTGAAGTAGCTCAGCTGGAATTCCATCACCTCCACCAGTTTTGTTTGTAGTGATGTTTCCTAAGGCCCACTTGACTTCACACTCCAGGATGTCTGGTTCCAGGTGAGTGACCACATCATCGTGGTTATCTGGGTCATTAAGATTTTTTTTGTATAATTTTTCACGTACTCTTGCCATCTCTTCTTAATCTCTTCTGCTTCGGTTAGGTCGTTACCAGTTCTGTCCTTTATTATGCCCGTCTTTGCATGAAATGTTCCCTTGATATCTCAAATTTTCTTGAAGACATCTCTAAGCTTTACTACTTTATTGTTTTCCTCTATTTCTTTGCATTGTTCATTTAAGAAGGCCTTCTTATTGTTCCTAGCTATTCTCTGGAACTCTGCGTTCAATTAAGTATATCTTTCCCTTTCTCCCTTGCCTTTCACTTCTCTTCTTTCCCCAACTATTTGCAAAGCCTCTTCAGACAACCTCTTCACCTACTTGCATTTCTTTTTTGCTAGGTTACTGGATTCTTTTCCTGAGAAGTTATTAGCTTACAACAGTCTCCCAAATTCCTTTAAAATTCCCTTTCTGTCTTTTATCCCCTAGAAGGATTTCGAAACTATTTCATTCTCCTACTCTGTCCCTATCAATAGCAGCTTCATTTGTAAGAACCAAAAACTGGAAGCAACCCAAGTGTCCATCAACAGGTGAATGGATTAAAAAAAAATTATTGTATACCCATACAATAGAATACTACTCAGCAATGAAAGGACATCAATTAATAAACACACAGCTTCCCTACTGATACAGTGATTAAGACTCTATCTTACAATGCAGGGGACACTGGTTCCATCCCTGGTCGCAGAAGATCCCACTTACTGCAGGGCAACTAAGCCCGTGAAAACAGCTACGGAGCCCACGTGTAGCAACTACTGGAGCCCCCACACTCTAGAGCTGGTGCTCCACAACAAGAGAAGCCACTGCAACGAGAAGCCCGAGCTACAGCTTGAGAGTGGCCACCGCTTGCCGCAACTAGGGAAAGCCCTCGGGCAGCAACAATCACCCAGCGCAACCAAAAATAAATATTTTTTAAAAAATAATAATATTAAAAAATAATACACACAAATGGATGAATCTCTAGATAATCATGATGAGGGAAAGCCAGACAAAAAGAACGTCATATGTGATTCCATTTATATGGAAGTCTATAAAATGCAAACTAACGGAAAGCAGATCAGAGATTGCTTGGGAAGGGAGAAGAGAGGGCAAGGGCGAGGGATCGTAAAGAGGCAAGAGGATCGCTTAAGGCAATGGATGTATGCTCACTCTCTCATGGTAATGTACACCACGGGTCAAAGCATAAAATCGTTCACTTTGGAAATGTCTCACCTGTGTGTCTGTTACACCTCAATCAAGCTGTGCAGAAAGTTGTGGGGAGCCTAGAACCCTTTGTCATGCCAGAAAACAAGGAAACTAGTCAGTATGTTAAAAAGATTCAGGTTCAAAAAAAAAAAAGATTCAGGTTCCAACTTAAATAAGCGTCCACTGGCCAACGATGGGAAACTATGAGTATCAGTTAGGATAATAATTACTGTGGATGGAAATCACAGTGGATTGAAAAAGGACACACAGTAATAGTGTTCAGACTGATAGACACAAATCTATGTGTTCATAATGATAGACATAAAATATGTATTCATAATGATAATAATAAAAAGACTCATTGATCAATAACCTTTGTAAGGTATTAGGGAATCAATGAATTATTAGATTCAGTAACAGCACCACTTAGGTGCAGATATAGAGGAAAAGGAGACTGACCAGGAGTTGGTTAATTGTTGAAATTGAGTAATGACTCTATGATGGTTCATTGGGCTGTTCTCTCTACTTTTGTATATGTATGAATTTATTTGCTTGCTTACTTGCTCCCCAGGTGCCAGATCTTAGTTCGCGCATGCTCCCTGCATTGGAAGCGTGTGGAGTCTTAACCACTGGGCGGCCAGGGAAGTTCCCTACAACAGTTTTACATTGTGCAATAAAAATGTTTTTAAACTCTGCATCAAAATTATTGCGCTAATGTGAAAAACACCGTTTGAAAATCGGGAAGAAAGACTGTCCTGCAAAATGCTGATGCTACTTGGGTGAGAGTGGTAGGATGAGTCATTTCCCCCTTCATTTCTACATTGTCTGTATTGTGTCTATGTATTTTTATATTATTTTCATAATGAGCTGAGCGACTAACCCTTTCACTCATAATAAACCCTAGGGAGCAAACAAAATCTCTGTATTTTTGCCGTCCTCGTCCTGGTCTTAAAAACTCATCTGTTCTTTCCTCCAGGCTTTTGCTAAATTTCCCGCCATCTTTTCCAAGTTTAGAGTATCTGGGTACTGGAACTATGAAAGTTTTGAGGAATGCGGGTCAAGTTCACCGCGCCCTAAACTTCCGCCCGCCAGCAGTCTGACCCTAGGCACACGCCCCACTCGGCGCGGCGACCTTTACCGGCTCAGGCCGGCTTCTGGAGCCACCTCCCTCCGACACGGGGGAGACGTTTGCGCACGCGCGCGCCAAGGGCCTACATTTCCCAGTAGGCTCTGCGCCTCGCAGGGGGGCCGGCCTTCGTCTCGGAGGACTACATTACCCAGCGACCCCTTGCAATAGGCGTTGATCGGGAGACTCCAGTACAACCATTGGTTTAGCGTCTGTCCGAAGCTGTGCTGTGATTGGCCCGGGAGCCCGTCAGTTACCGCCGAGCTCAGTTAAGTTTTTACTGTTAGACTGCGCGAGGAGTGAGAGACGAGCGACCGGAGCCGCGCCCTCTCATCCTGGTGAGTGATCTCTGCCTCCGCCCTCTCGCTGTCCGCTCGGAAACCCGCACTATCATTCCCTGGGGGCGATCACTGGCGCAGGTACTCACGCGAGGGCGGGGGCCGTACCCACACGTGACGTGTCTGACCTGAGAAGCATCTTCAGGGACGCAGGAAGAGAAACCCTGGACACACCCGGGGCACCTGTCTGCGCACGCGGGTGCACGCCTCGTGGGCGTTTTCTTGGACCCGGGGTGAAAACACACGCCCTGGAGCATGTGTGGACACCGGTGTCCACACGCGGGGACATCTGCAGAGATCCTCTGCTGAGCACGTGGGCTCAGGGGCACACGCGGTTACCGCGGGGCTCCTGCATATCTGAACACCAGGGGCTCCCGCAGTGAAAACGGGGTGGCGAAAGCAGACACACACCCACCCCCCCCACACACACCTGCCCTTATTCACACCAAGGCGCACCCCACCATCTTCTGATGCTTTATTATATCATGCTTATAATGTTTCATGTTCATTTTGTCTCTAAATAAATAGCAAGGCTTTTTGGTACAAGAAGAAAATTACGAGCAAGCAGAAAAAGTAAGGCCACCAATGAATTGTATTCAGCAAGCCCTTTCACGTGTATAAGACTTTTACCTTTTTGACAGAGCTTATCATATATAGTATCTTTTTTTTGTTGTTGGAAAAAGAATTTATTTTATTTTTTTTTCCATTTATTTTTATTAGTTGGAGGCTAATTACTTTATATCATTACAGTAGTTTTTGTCATACATTGAAATGAATTAGCCATGGATTTACATGTATTCCCCATCCCGGTCCCCCTTCCCACCTCCCTCTCCACCCGATCCCTCTGGGTCTTCCCAGT